CGTGCCGTGTTCGCAGGGCGTCGTGTTACTGTTCTAAGTGCAGGGTAGGAGCGTACCCGGACTGCATGGTGGCAAAGAACTACCCCGAGATCGTTGGCAAGGTACATAAGAAATCGGGAAAGGAGAGAGTGGTTCTTGCTGCCGACAGTTGAGCAAAAGTCGGTAGCATTTTGAGTGCCTCACTTGGTCGTATTAATTTATTTTGATCTCGTTCGTGGTCATTGCTGGTGGTGGTGCTGCTGCTCCTCCTGCTGCTGCTGTTTTGTGTTGTGTTGCTGTGTATAGCATGCTGTGAGTTGTTATGTGCCGCCAGTGCTGTTTCGTTGTCGTTGAGGAAACTAACGGAGAAACCGGATTGTACTCTTTGGGTGTTTTTACCGTCAAAAACAACCACACTTCAACAAATTCAATTAGATTAGTACTTTAAACAAATTTAGTAGAGTATCGCAGCAATTTTGTCATGCATAACAACGTGCATGTCCCACGCACATCATTTACGGCCGTCAGCGCGCCATGTTGCCCGCGTAAAAGCGCTTGATAACGCGAGAAAACGGATGAAAACACCGGGGGGGACAAAACCATCCCATCCCCGGGTTTGCACTCTTCCATACATTTAGTCATATCAAACTGAGAAAGTCGTTGAAACCCCCACTTCCCTAACTCCGTCACCAAATCTGACCACGAGAATCGTGCACACATGGGCAGAGGTGACTACAACCAACTTTTCAGAGCTTAGCGGGTTCGGTATTCGCTCAATCTCAACTTCGGGCACACGATCTCGGAAGGCGCCAATTTCAAAAAAAAAATGGAGTTCCATGTATTTGGCGGAAAGTTATGACGGTTACAAAAAAAGTGGGGCTTAACTGGCTCTGCCGAGGCTTAATAGAGACATCTACTCTCCCTTCTTCCCCTCGCTCCTCGACAAGCTTTTGCTTAGACATGGGTTGTAGCGAAGGGGGGGGTCTTTCTGGCGAGCAGGGCTAGACTCACCCTCAAGGGATGACCGAAACCTTCTTGCTGCTGCGCATCCGCCGCGAGGCGTGCGTGTGGTGGTAGAGTTGGGTCGGCACTGATGGGGTCAGGCGGGAAAATGTAGATTCGCGGGCCTTTCTGCCGTCGGCGTAGGCAGTGATGCCCATCTCATTTTTGTGCGCGGAGGCAGACACCATCAGAAAGGTGGACGGGCACTACACGGCCCTAGGTTTGCTAGAGGGAGCTGTATTGCCTCAGTAACCTGGCTTCGCCATCAAAGGAGGAGGGAGCAGGTGGCGACGAGCTGAACTAGGCTGGTTGACCATTCGGCGCGAGAATTTTTNATTTTTGTGCGCGGAGGCAGACACCATCAGAAAGGTGGACGGGCACTACACGGCCCTAGGTTTGCTAGAGGGAGCTGTATTGCCTCAGTAACCTGGCTTCGCCATCAAAGGAGGAGGGAGCAGGTGGCGACGAGCTGAACTAGGCTGGTTGACTATTCGGCGCGAGAATTATTATTTTTTTCAGACCAAGAACCTGGAGTGCAATGCGGGAGAAAGCGAGGAACGGACTGGGAAGGACAGCAACGAGAGCGTGCACGGA